CACACACACATATGAAACCAGGCACGGGTGGTTCATTCATGCCTGTAATCCTAGCTACTCAAGAGGATGAGATCTGATGATCACAGCTCGAAGCCAGTCTGGGCAGAAAAGTTTGTGAGACACTTGCCTCCAATTATCCAGCAAAATCTTGGCAGTGAAAGTGTGGCCCAAGTGGTAGAGCACCAGCCTTGAGTGGAAAAAGAGAGTGCCCAACCCCTGAATTCAAGCCCTAGTCCTAGAACATGTATGTACGCAAAGAAAGATCAATAAAGTCTAAAAAATGGTTTCCTTCTGGTTCTCTCTGTGGGCTTTACTCTCTCCTCACAAGCACCCCATTCACGTCTCTTCCTTTGACCCAAATTCTCACAACAGTCCTGTTTATGCTTATGAAGAAGATGGTATCCAAAGCAGTGGGTCACAGACGCCCCCCCTCACTCAGCCTACATAAGGAAATGGGTCCTCCCCAGTTTAGGGTAGATATGCCGGGTCAGTTAACTAGAGAGGTCAGTCCTTTCACTTCTGGCTGAATATGTAGCTAGAATGCCAAAGGCCTTAACCTCACGCATCCTGAAGATGGCAGTGCTTTACACGCGTTCATATCCCCTCCTGGGACTCTTTCTGGCCACCAGATAGGCTGTTAGCAAAATGACAAGCAGAACTGCGATACTCAGGCCCATGGCCACAGGGATTTCTCTCCTGTTTTTGTCACTGAAGCATTCATTCTCTGTAATTGAAGTCAGAGTAACAGGTGTTACAGGCTGGCCACACATGCTAGGAAATGATACTGCATCTGTCTGCCTCAGTCTAGAAGACAAGGAAACTGGGGTGGGTAGAGGAAGGGGTCTGCTACCCCAGACACAAATGGGTGAAAATGGAGGAGGACAAGGGTCCAAATAGTGGGTCTCAAACGGGTTGGGCTCTTAGAGAGTATTCAATCACAGATCTCTAGGTTACATGCCTGAAAATTTGTGATCCAAAGGGGTCTCTGGTGGGTCTGAGGATTTTGATTCTCTTCTGGCTCTGTTCTTAAACTCCAGAAACAAGGTCTCAGAGCCCAAGTTTTCTATCCAAACTGCTTTTTAAAAAATTTATGAAAATACCATACAGAGGGGTTACAATTACATGGGCAAGGTAATGAGTACATTTTTTTTTTATCAAGCATTGTTGTTGCCTCCTCCTTTGTTTCCCCTTCCCATCCCTTTCCATCCCCCCCTTACCCCCTCCCTCCCGACTCTGGCCAAAGTTGTAAAGTTAATTTTTCGACATAACAACTTGTACATCTCATTGTAGCAATGGGTCCACCTGTATCCCTATTTAAACGATTTGTTTTTTCCCTTCCCCTCCACAAATTATACCAACATCAAATACAGTGAAAGCAGTGGCTATACCATGGGGTAGGGGCTACTGGCAGGGCACCAGTGGTTCACACCTGCCATCTTAGCTACTCAGGAGGCTGAGATCTGAGAATCCTGGTTCAAAGCCAGCCTAAACAGACAAATCTGAGAGACTCTTATCCTCAATTAACCAGCAAAAAAGGAAGTGGGAGTATGGCTCATGTGGTAGAGCACCAGCCTTGAGTGGGAAAGTCAAGCCAGACTGCAAGGCTCTGAGTTCAAATTCCAGTACTGGCACACAATAAAGAAAGAAAGGGGCTACTGGGACAGTCTGATATCCCTTGGATGATAGGGGAAAATAAAAGACATAGTAAATAAGTAAATAAAGGCAAGCCCCATGGAGGAGTTGTGAACGCAATTAGAAGCCATTCCCTTTGACAAAGCTGAGCTTTTACACTTGCTGGATTCCTCTCTAAGTTCTTTGAGCCTATTAAATGTCACCATTGTAGTTATTACAAATGAGGGAAAACATGCAGCCTGTTTTCGTTAGGTCTGGCTTACTTCACTAACTATAATTTTTTCCAAGACTTTCCATTTCCTGATAAATGGGCCAGTGCCATTCTTTCTTATGGAAGCATAGAATTCCATTGTGTACCATATTTTCTTGATCCATTTATCCACTGAAGGGTATCTGGGTTGATTCTATATCTTAGCTATGGTTAATAATGCTGCAAGGAACATAATTGTGTTGGTGGCATTAATGAGGGCCAGTTTGAATCCAATGGATAATAAAAGACAATTAATTACACTGGGAAATGATTAATTAAACAGCATTTTAAGCATTCACACACTGAAAACAAATGAGGATATTCTTAGGAGAGGATCACAATGGCTCAATAGCTATGTGCATATGACAATATACAATGATGCTTATTGAAATGAACTCCAAGAAATGGAAACGATGATTTTTATTGTACTATTTGCAGTTATTTCTTTTTTCTTTCTTTTTTACTCCTTTGGTTTATTCTCTGTTGTTACTGTTTTTTTATTTATGTACCTTTTATCTTGTATATAAGTGTGTCCTATTTGGGGAAGGGGAGGGGAATCACAGAAATGGTAGGATAAAGGGTGAGACAATTCAACAGTGATAGTTACTAGACACTATGTTGTAAATAAGCTTCACAACTTGGGGGGAGGATGAGGAGGAGAAGTGGGATAAAATGAGAGAGGTGGTAACACTGTTCAAAAAGAGTATACTCATTACCTTATTTATGTAACTGTAACCCCTCTGTACATCATCTTTACAATAAAATTTAAATTAAAAATAATTTCACCATTGGCCAGAGCTTCTCTAACACATCACTGTCCACCAACACTTTCACCTTTCTCTGAGATTCCAGAACCTTGCTCAAACATGTTTAATACAATTTATTGCACAGTGGTATGCTCCTTGTTACCATCTACTCTTATTGGTAAAGATATAGTTTATAAGCTGGCTGTCCATGGCTCACACTTGTAATTATAACTACTCAGAAGGCTGAGTATCTAAGGATAGATGTTCTAAAGCTAGCCCAGGCAGGCTAGTATGAGACTCTTTTCTCCATTACCCAGTAAAAAACTGGAAATGGAACTGTGGAGCAAGTGGTAGAGTACCAGCCTTGAGTGAAAAGGTCCAGGTCTTGAGTTTCAGCCTCAGTACCAACACACACAAACAGCACACTTAAGAGTGATAGAGTGATTTGTTTTCTTCCCATCTGATTAGCAAAATCATGGAATATGGAGCTGAGCTGAAGCAGGTAGCATGAAGTAAACAAGAGAAGTCCTTTGACAGAAAGATTGGTAGGGCTTTGTGAGCAAAGGGTGACAGGGCTAAGTGATAACTGAGGTCTCTTGTTTGGGGACTTTCCAATGAAAGGTGTGTGTGTGTGTGTGTGTGTGTGTGTGTGTGTGCGTGCGTGTGTGTGTGTGTGTGTGTGCATGTGTGTACGCTGGCACTATTGAGATGTGAACTCAGGGCCTCTAGCTCTTGCTTGGCTTTTTTGCTCAAGTCTGGCATTCTACCACACTCTACCACTTGAACTGTACCTCCACTTCTGGCTTTTTACTGGTTAATTGGAGATAGTCTCCAGGATTTGTCTGCTCCAAACCACAATTTTCAGATCTCAGCCTACTGAGTAGCTAGGCACACTCCATTAACTCTTAGCTTAGTGCCCAGCTAAATGGTGATTTTTTTTTTGTTTTTAGGAAACAAGATAAAAATAAAGCTTTTCTGCATCTACTTGTGAATACTAATAGTAGCTTATTCCCCACCTGCCTACTTCCTATTTCACAAAAGTTTTTTTTGTTTTTTTTTGGTCGTGGGGCCTGAACTCTGGGCCTGGGCGCTGTCCCTCAGCTCTTCAGCTCAAGGCTAGTGCTCTAACACTTGAGCCACAGCGCCACTTCTGATTGTTTCTGCTTATGTGGTGCTGAGGAATCAAACCCAGGGCCTCATGCATGCAAGACAAACTCTCTACCACTGAGCCACCTTCCCAGCCCCACAAAAGATTTGATGGGAAAATAAGCTAGTATGTGCCTCATTTTAAGATCACATGATTCATCTCAGAGGTTTTCAAACCTTCATCATGAATTTTCAAAGGAATAAATATTTTCCAACATTAGAAGCTTTGAGACCTGCTGATGAAGTTGGTCTTAATACTAAATCTTGATACTGAGCCTGAATGCTGTGGCAAAGGCCCAAATTAAACAAAAGCAGCGTCTATAGACACAGGAACCCCGCCCCCCTCCAGGGATTCAAGGCAAAGCAGCAGCTGACTCCTCTCTGCCAAATGTTTCCACTAGGTCAGGAAAGTTTTCTGCTAGACACATCTTTAATTTTACAATGAAAGCCAGAGTGAAATCTGATTCTCAGTATGGATATTTAACATAAGGCTAAGCTTCTAGCTAAATCAACTTTGGATAGTTGAGAAAACACTTAAAATATTTTTGAGTTTTGAGAGCCTGTTTTAGAAATTGAAGTTCATGGCCCTCCTGAGAAGATGTAGAAGTCCTTATAATGCTGTTTTCCTGGCAGACAAGAAAGGACTTTTCTGGAAAGTCACCCTGCTCTGTGCCTGGCCCTTATCCAAAGACCAAGGTCCCTCATAGGCATCATCAGGCCAGCCCTGCCTTTTGAAGTCAACCCCAAAGCAGCAATCAGATGGAAATGAGTGTTGACTCTTTCGAAATGCTGTCAGATTCAACAATTTATAAATGAGTGGATCCAATAGAATTGATTTCTTTCTTGAGTTATTGTGTCTGGCTCCTTTCCCTCTGCAGGTGGGAAGGATTCTATTCTGAAATCTTAAGTCACTAATCCTTAGGATCTTTAAAGTGTTCTCTGAGTATACACAAATTCCCCACTGCTCATCGGCATGTATAGGCAAGGTCACCAATGGTGGTTTTTGACTGTTGAACAGAGAACTATGGGTTTTGGTTAGATGAAGAGATCAGACACAGGAGACTGTGCCAAGGGGGCCAAAGAGTCTGTCTTTGAGGTGTGGGGGTGCCACACTGTTCTAGAAAGCATCTGCTTCCTGCCCCTTGACACCTTCAAACCAAACACAGCTTGGAGCTACCCCCGAATCTCAAAGCTTCTGTTTGTGACTTTATGAGCCTTTAACTTACCATTTCCAAAGCCATCTCCTTCAAAGTCGAAGGCCTGAAGTTGAAGATTCATTGTCTTCAGTTGCAGCTGGGTTGACAGCTGGAGGCTTTGTTCACTCACACACTTGAAGGAATGCCCCACCGCAGTTTCAAAAATCACAGCACGTTTCGTCCCCTGGTACGTTTCCTCTGAAGAGAAAAAGTAAAATGTGGATGTATAGGAATCCTGATGCTATTCACCAAACTGCTGCTCAGCTGCCCTGAGGGCTTCCTGAAGGAAGTAGCTTGCCGAGCCTCTCTGTTCCTGCTTGGGATTGCTTCTGACCTTATTACCATTTGTGAGTACAGGTTCACATGAATTCTCATACTAAGTGCTTCCTTCCAGGGTGCATGCTCCATCCAACAAGCCAGGTGCTATCACTTTGAATAATTATGTGGTTTTGTTTTTATTTTATTTTTTGGTGCTGGTACTGGGGCTTGAACTCAGGGCCTCATGCTCTCACTTGGCTTTTTTTTCCCCTTTCAACCAGTGCTGACTCTACCACTTGAGCCACACTTCCACTTCAGGCTTTTTGCTAGTTATGTAATTTTTTTTTGGTCGGTCGTGGGCCTTGAACTCTGGGCCTGAGCGCTGTCCCTCAGCTCTTCAGCTCAAGGCTAGCGCTCTACCACTTGAGCTACAGCGCCACTTCCACTTTTTGCTAGTTAATTGGAGATGAGACTCTCATGAATTTGTCTGCATGGGCTGGCCTCAAACCAAGATCCTCAGATCTCAGCTTCCTGACTAGCTTATAGTATAGGCATGAGCCACCAGCACCTGTCCCCACTTTGGATAATTATGAATCGTCAATGCCCAATGCAGGCAGGGCTCAGCAACTACATTTTATAGAGTGAATATATTTTTTCTGAGAGAATGAATTGCACTATCCACCACAAATCTGTTAAAAAGTCATTAAATTTGTTACTATTCTGATCGTGTGCTCTCTGACATAAGCAAGTCTCATCTATGAGAAGGTAGAGAAATGGAAGCACACAGTAATAAATATTCCCCCCCCCCTCCTACCAAAGTTTAATTGCTGGATGCCTCCTCCATTCTGTTTCTTTTTTGTTTATTTGTTTGTTTTTTGGTCGGTCATGGGGCTTGAACTCTGGGCTTGGGCGCTGTCCCTGCGCTCTTCAGCTCAAGGCAAGCGCTCTACTGCTTGAGCCACAGAGCCACTTCCAGTTTTCTAGTGATTTATTGGAGATAAGAGTCTCATGAACTTTTCTGCCCAGGCTGGCTTTGAACCAAGATCCTCAGATCTCAATCTCCTGAGTAGCTAGGACTACAGGCATGAGCCACCGGTGCCTGGCTTCCATTCTGTTTCTTGAATGCACTAGGCACCAGTGGTTCATATCTGTAACCCAAGCTACTCAGGAGACTGATCTAAGGATCTCAGGTCAAAGCCAGTCCAGACAGACAAATCCAAGAGACTTATCTCTAATTAATCACTAAAAAGCAGGAAGTGAAGGCATGGCTCAAGTAATAAAATGGCTGCCTTGAGCAAAACTAGGAATGAATATGATGCTCTGAGTTCAAACCCCTACCAGCACACACACACACACACACACACACACACACACACAGCACAAAGCAGCATCAAAGATTAGCTGATCCAATGAAATGAAAAATGAGCTAGCCAGCTACACATTGCCATTGATGGTCAAAAAGCTGTTCTCTGAGGACTAACCTGGATTTGAGACGGTCAAATAGGCTCCCACTTCACTGATGTAATATGAATTTTCTTCCTATAAAATACCAGCATGATAAAGTTTAGATACTCTCCATTTTAATGTTATGCTTATGGCCTACACATTTTTTTACTGACAATTTCAACTATTAAATGCTTGCTATGGGGAATAATTAGGGTATAGAACAACAGTTGTGCTTGAAATTAAAAAAAAAACACATGTCACACAAAATATTCAAAATAAGTAATACCTTATCCCTGTCTCTAAATTCCTCTATTGCTTACTTGTTGCAATAAATGAAATTCCATCAGTATAATTTGAGTCCCTTCATGAACCATATTTCTTTATTGTATCCCAAAGGTTCTGAATGCTGTGTTTTTATTTTCATTCTGTTACTCCAAGAACCTTTTGATTTATTTTTTCTGTTGTTTCAAAGACTTAATCACGTGTTGGTCAGTCCCTGTATGTTTAAATATTTATTAGTTGTTATTTTGTGTGTGTGTGTGTGTATGTGTGTGTTTTACCAGTCCTGGGGCTTGAACTCAGGGCTAGGGTACTATCTCTAAGCTTCTTTTGTTCAAGTCTAGAACTCTACCACTAGAGTCACAGCTCCATTTCTGGCCTTTTCAGTTTATGTGGTTCTGAGGAATTGAACCCAGGGCTTCGTGCATGCTAGGCAAGCACTACACCACTAAGCCACATTCCTAGCTTACTAGTTTGAATTCCACTATGGTCTGATAGAACATAGGGAAATATTTTAATTTTTTTACATTTGCTAAAACTGACTTTCTGTCCTGGAACAAGATCTATTTTTTTAGAAAGTTCCATGGGTTTCTGAGAAGAATATGTACTGAGTAGCTACTGAGTATTCTATAGATGTCTGTCATGTCCATTTGGTCTATGGTGTCCAAGTTTCCTTGTTAAAATATAAGTTCATCTGGAGGGTAGAGGGGTTGGAGGGCCATACATGAGCCTTTATAAGTAAATAACATCAAGATGTGGTGGTTCTTAACCTGAGGCTACTTGGATAGAATGAATGGAGTTCACAAATCCTCTGGGGAAAAATAATGAATATAAAACCAGATGTGCATTTTTCTGGGTAGGATGTTATTTGCTCTGGAGAGATTAGTAAATCCATGTTTCTAAACTGTTTAAGTTGGGTCACCAGGGGGGATTCTAAGGAGAAACCATTTACCACAGAACAAGACCCATTTTGAAACACAAAGCAGTGCCCTGCATTTTATCTAGAGATTGTCCTCTTGGAAAAACAAACCAAATCAACTACAGAATAGCCCTTTAACCTCTTGAATGATAGGGGACATAAACCCTTCAAAGGAATTAAATTGGGGGAAAGCCGGAAGTGGCACTGTGGCTCAAGTGGTAAAGCGCTAGCCTTTAACTGAAGAGCTGAGGGACAGTGCCCAGGCCCAGAGTACAGGTCCCATGACCCACAACAACAACAAAAAGAGCAAATAGAAGAGAGAATTTCTTTCTTTTTTTTCTTCTTTTGTTTTCTCTTTTGTTCATGCTGGATATTGAATCCAGGGCTATAGTGGTCCTTCTTCTTCCTTCTCCTCTTCTTCTTCCTCCTCTTCCTTCTCTTCCTCCTCCTCCTCCTCTTCCTCCTCCTTCTCTTTTTCTTCCATTGTATTGATCACTTAATTTCAGGAAATCTTTCTACCAGTTTATAGTCCAAAAATATAGTCTTGAAATTGAGTCTCTGTCCCTAGAGCTTAGCCTCTGTTAAAGTTAAGCAAAAAAAAAAATTCTCTCAAATTTTAGTGGTCTCATGCATACTAAATACACCCTCTATACCTGAGCAACACACCCAGCCTATTTCTGTTTTTTAAGTTTGATGATCTACAGCATTCTCACAAGAAAGATGTATAAAAAAAGAGTAACTAAAATTATAATCTGAAATCAAATTAGTTATAGAACTTTAAATCTAGTTACAAATGGAATTTAACAATAATAATCTATACCATGGTAGAGTCCATGTTATATTATTTATGGATGAAATGGTGATTCATTGCACAATGCAACATGCTTTTGTAAGGAGGGGCTTTGCTATAGAAACACTGAACTCTAGATCATCTAATTCATTGATTTCACCTATCACAGACTAGTTAACCTTGTGTGAGGCACTGTAGCAGGCATTTCCATATTTAATCCTCCCAACTATGAGAGGAGACATAGGTTCAGTGACTTACCCAATGTCACAGTGTGAAGAGGTGACAGGGGAAGATGTGAGCTCTCTAGTTGTCTGTCCCTCAGTCCCAGATATATATGTTTTATATACCTTCTATGTTAGGATTGTTTCCAGGTCCTGGAAGGGGACCAAACTAGGCTATCCTTCTTCAAGGCATTCAGTCTTGGCAGTTTTGAAGGGAATTTGAATAATATGCTCAGGCCATGCATATGCTTTGGGGAAAACCAGCTGCGACTCAGTCCCTTTTTGGGTTACTTTCACATACCATTTTTTGAGGGATATTACTTAATTGGGTTTCCATTTAGCATAAAAAAAGACCTGAACCTTAGGGCCCACAGTCAGGGTTACAAGACCCCTGCTCCATCCAAAAATCAAAAGGAAGCCATCAAAGCATTGAAGCAGGGTTTTGTGTTTGGGAATTGCTTAGGCTGTAGTGTGAGACTGATTTAAAGGGCATCAGTACAGAACAAGGCCACTCAGCCTCTCAGAGGCCTCCTGGCATCTTCCCTTCCCTCTAACAGCTCCCTGATCTTCTGCACCTATGAAAAGCTGGCATTTCTATGAGCATGTCACAGTTGACAAAATGTATCTGAATATTTCCTATGAGAGGTTGGCAAAACTATAGATGTGGAACTAGTAGATTAAGAATAAACTCCAGACAGAATTACAGAAGGATATCCTAAAACAAACAGAGCAGGAAAGAAGTGAGGAGATGAGGGTATATTTATCTTGAACTTGAAGGGTCTGAAGAACTGTAAGTATGCCACCCTAATCAAATAAGACAGACAGGGAAAGATTTTCAGGTCTTAAAAAAGATGAAACTAACCTGGACACTAGTGGCTCACATCTATCTATAAGCTTAGCTATTCCAGGAGGCTGAGATCTGAAGATTGAGGTTTGAAGCTAGCCTGCATGGGAAAGTCCACGAGACTCTTATCTCTAATTTACTAGCCAAAAGCCAGGAGTGAAGCTGTGGCTCAGGTAGTAGAGCACCATTCTTGAACAGAGTAAAGCCAAGGTACAGTGCCTACACCCTGAGTTCCAGCACTGGTACCAGCACAATAGCTAGCTAGCTAGCTAGAGCTGATAAAAATGAGACAGGAAACTATCCTTCTCCTCACACCCTCTCCCCCCAACCTCCTGCCGTGACAGACCAAATATTATACTCAGCACCTTTATATTCTCCCAGAAACCTAACAAATTGTTATAGCAAACCTCTTGTTTGAGGTGGAAGGAACTTTGAAATACAGTTTGTGAAGCCATTACAGATGCTAGCCAGGAAAAGGAGCATGTCTGGGGGACAGTTTCTCTCAATTTCCAGTCACAGGCTTAGAGAGAAGTCCACCAGACTTAACACTAAGAATATTTCCATAATAACCTTCTGAGGAAGGAAAGCATTAGCTGTTTCTATGGAGACTGCATTGGCTATGGAGAAGAGGGGCGGGACAATGTGAAGCAGGGAAGCTTTGGGATAGGATGGCCCACAGGTCTGATTGTTGCTTCTGTGCTTGTTGGGACTAAAGCAGGATGTGGCGCATCTCTAAGGAGGTAATGAGAGAACTTTGGCCATGGTTTTAACATACATTCAGGAATGCAAAACAATGGTGTTGGTTTGGCCTGCAACTGCTAACAGGCTAGTCTCCTTCATCTCTCCTCTTCTCCATCTTGCTGCCCTTGTAATCCTGGGAACTATAGCTTTGGGTCTTTTGTTGTTCCCATCTGCCTAACTCATTATTAAGGTCTGTGAGAGAGCAGTGGGTTGTTGTTTTTTTGACATGAAGCATGGGTTGAGCTGAAGACAGCTGAGAAGAGGCAGCTTCAGAAGAGTGTTCTTCCCTCCCTGATTACCTAGAGGCAAGACATAGACTGGTACATTCATCACCTCCTCTCCTGTCCATCAGCAAGGACAGAAAGTAGTCATTGGAGACATTGGAGACCCCTGTCTTCTGGAGACACCACACCAGAGACTCCACTTGCAATCCTATTAATTAATCCTCACCTACCATTAGTTTCCCCACATATTTGTTTTCCTGCACTTTTTACCCCTGTAAGCCAAAGGCTGCTTTCTTTGTCTTGCTACTTTTCCAAAATCTATTGCTCTTTGTTGAAGTTGTCACGGAAGCTGAGTTCTAAGTCATTGCTTCAAACCACCTTTCATGGAGGTTTCTCCCAAGTAATGAGTGCTGTACACATTTGCTTGTCTTCTCTTATGAATCTGTGTTTTGTTATAGGAATCTGCTCCATAACTTGGGGACAGACTTGTGAGGGTTGGGAAGAATTGTATTTCTTTCACAGTAGGTTGAAACTTGGTTGAAGCCAAGTGCTGGTGATACATGTCTGTAAGCTACTCTGGAGGTTGAGATCTGAGGAACACTGTTCAAAGTCCACCTGGGCAGGAAAGTCTGTGAGACGCTTATCTCCAATTAGCTAGCAAAAAATCTGGAAGTAAATCTATGGCTTTACTATGCTAACTTTGAGCAACAAAGCTATGAGACAGTATGCAGGCCTTGCGTTCAAGCCTTATACTAGCACAAACAAACAAACAACAAAAGAAAAGTAAAATGAAGTAAAGATCTCATTTCTCTTTTAGAAAAATCTAGGTGTTTTTTTTTCTTGCCTGGCTATTTTTACACAATACATCTGTTAAGGCAGAAGCCACAGAATCAAGGTCCTATAGGCTAAATCTGGCCCTCAGCTGAGTTTTATTTGGCTAGCATGATGTTCAAATTTTAAAACATGTTACTAACATTTAAAATAATGTACTTTTCTGAAGACATTGGATTTCTGACTTCGCTTGAATAATCACACAATCTGGAAACACTAGCTTCGCATTGTGATAACTATATATGTAAGTTATTTAACAGCTGATACTGTAGGCAGCCACTCAGAATGGACAACTGACCTTCAAGAATATATAAATGTCTCCATAAAAGATTGTGACAAACCCCAGAGTTAGTCATCAACCCTGTTACTGGTACCATAGCTGGAGCTAAGGACAGACTGTGTCCTCTGTGTGTGTGTGTGTGTGTGTGTGTGTGTGTGTGTGTGTGTGTGTGTGTGTGTGCCGCGCATGCGCACGTCCCAGAACTAGGGCTTGAACTCAGGACCTAGGCACTGTCCCTTAGCTTTTTCATTCAAGGCTGGTGCTCTACCATTAAACTACAATTCTATTCAAAAAACACTGTTTTCACTAGCCTGCTTCATTCGTTGCATTACAGGCTTAGCTTACGCAGCCCTTTAATTTATGGCCTGTTTAACTTAAGCCAGTTCTCTGAAATGCAGAAAGTCCCCAAGAGGATGATGGCTGGCAGGGATTTTGACTTTCTCAAAGGCTTTTGCTTTCCTCCAGTTCTGGAACCTGAGTCAGCTGCCTGGACAATTTGTGTTGGAGAGTGGAGTGACTAAGTGGGCTGCTTGAGCAACACCAGAGATGAAGGAGTTCAGGAAGGTGTATGGGGAAAGGAGGAGGGAGGGTCAGCTGGGGTTCTAGATCCTTCTGGACCCTCCTTTCCAACCCATGTGTATGAAAGGAGCAAAAATCAGGGACACACATTTTTGTTTTACAAAATCCAACATGTGATGGAGTTTGGTGACAGTCCAGCTTGAAGGTTTCAGATGGGCAGGGAGGAAACTTGGGGAGGCAGAGAAGAGACTTTGGAAGGCAGCCAAAGAAACTCCAGTTTGCAGCTCCACCCAAGGCCTAGGCAGCTGCCATAGTGTGCTGCAGACAGACGCAGAGATTTCTGCTGCATCCCCGACGCCATTGTTCACTCAGGGCTTGGGAGAGGCTCTAGGTGGAAGTAGAATCTGAGGAATAATAAATCTATATCCTCTGACATAGTGTTTTCTTTATAACTTATTTTTTGTTGGTTCCCGGGCTTGAACTCGGGGCCTGGACAATGTCCCTTTTTTGCTCAAGGCAAGTGCTCTACCATTTGAACCACAGCTCTGCTTCTAGCTTTTTGGTAGTTAATTGTAGATAAAATTTGCATGAACTTTCCAGCCCTGTCTTTGGTTGTGATCCTCAGATCTCAGACTTCTGAGTAGCTGGGATTACAGGCATGAACTACTGGTGCTGGGCCAAAAGTGGGTTTTTAAAGAAAATGTGGACCCTTCTATGATTTTGTCCAGAGATAGAGCACTTTCTTTGCTCTGAATGGCTTCTAAGAGAGGGATTATGCCTTTCCGAGGGGTACTAAAGAGACTCCTGTGACTTTTCAAGTGTATCCACTTTTTAAAGAAAAGTGTGCATCACCACTACCCTTTACTGAAGAAACTAAACTGTCAAACAAAATGTACAGAAAGCCATTGCTTTGGATTGAGCTCCTGAATTGGACCCAACAGATAAATTAAAAGTAGGTCACTCTCACTGAAGTTCCAGGCTAACAAGCCAAAACTCATTTGCTTATCTGACCTGCCCAGAAGTCAGGAGAGAGATAGATAGTGGTCAAATCCCTACACAAGTCAGTTTTAGCTCACATGATAAGGAAGTCTCCTCTGCCTTAACCGTACAAAGAAGGGAACTTTGAAAATTTGGATCCATCTTCTGTTCTACTTTCCTCACCTTTCTTTGCCTGCTCAGCTCATCGGAACGCTTGTTCTGCCACACAGAATAAAGTATGGGTCAATCTAGAATCGTGAATAAGGGCTAATGAAGAACTTTAAATAGATTTCTTATATTTTTATCTTTTGTACCAAGCACTGTACTAGCAAGTTTACTCACACACGTGTGTGTGTATTGGTACTATGAATTGAACTCAGGACCTCACGCTTTCAATTGTCTTTTTTGCTAAGGCTGGTGCTCTACCACTTGAGCCCTATCTCCATTTCTGGCTTTTTTTGCTGGCCAATGGCAGATTTTTCTGCCTTGTCTAACTTTGAACAGTGATTATACGATCTCAGCCTCCTGAGTAGCTAGGATCATGAGTGTGAGCTACCAGTGCCCAGTTAAACACACCTCTAATCCTCCAAACAGTCCTAGTTGGTAGGCACAATCATGTAATCATTTCCACAGTTGAGGAAAATGGCCCCACATAGCTGGAGTCATAGAGCTGGTAGAGTCTCAGCATAGGCCACATGGGTAAGTCTCCCCAGGAGGGTGGGCTCACCAGGCTTCTAAGACTCCCAAGACATTTGTTTGCTCTGGTTACTGTAATTATAGCATTTCTGGTAAATACCTACCAAGTCCTATCTATTGAGCATACTCTTTATCGAGGTGATATTTTCAAGTGATAAAGCAAAGGTTGGAGAGATTAAGGAGGCTGTTCACAGTCACGCGAAAAGCCAGTGGCAGAATCAGATATGCTGCTGACTCTTACCTCAACACCCACTTTCCACTTTATTGTGTTGTCTACCCATATATACCCAAAATACGGTCTGGAAAACCCAGTTTCATTAGTCCCTGAATTTTGCCTTCTGGGTTTGGAAATAACCCATTCTGACGTTTGATCTTCAAATCATCCTTTTTATGTGGTATCCACTGGGAATTTCTACAATTTTATTTTAAATCTACACAACTTCCTCTTTTGGTGGTTTGTAAAGGGCACTAGAGACCAGGTTCCTCAAAAGCCAAGTTTCCCATAAGAGCCCCTGGAGCCCTTCTTGGGCCTGTACAGAGAAGGCTGGAGAAGGAAGAAAGTAAACAGATGTCCACACTTCCCTCTCTCCATCCCCCAGCCCTTCATCCTTATCAGCAAAGATCTCCAGATTCTTCCGCTGGGCCCAGGATGAAGTGGAGACCTGTGATTGCGGAGAGAGGCCAAGTGAAGTCAGAGCCAAGCAGGATGAAGGAACTCATGCCTCACCTTAGTAAATGTGAAATTCACAGATCCGCCTGGGAAGTTCAAGACAAGTTTCGATTTTTGGGACTCACATTTTCCAGAGATTTGGGTTACATTAGGATCGATGTTGAAGTATTTCTGAGGTGAAAAAACCTAAACCAAATAAGATAGACAGATCAGCTCCATGGAGGCAGAATGAAACTCAAGTTGGGAACCTAGACACACAGACTAGCTAGGTGGATGTTCACCTGAGAACAGCAAAATCAAACCAGATGGGTGGGACTTTTTTCATCTCACAGTCTTGCTCACAGGTTTCTTTCTAGAAAGAGTGCCCACAAGAGAGCTGCAGCTCCTTGATAGGTAACTCATGGCAGGTATATTCCTGATAAGCCACATAGAGCTTTTTTTAAAAAGTTAAACATGTTGCAAGGGGCTAAGAGAAGGGTTGAATTCTGAGGTACTTCTGACTTAAATAAAAAGGAAGTTTCATTTATGTTCCAGATGGAACATAAAACCATTATTTTGATTTATTAATAAATCAGATACTCAAAACGCTCTATTTGATGTTCTGGTGGCTTTGTTGTCATTGTTGTTTGTTTTGTGCCAGTACAGGGGCTTAAACTTAGGGCCTCACACTCATGCTTGGCTTTTTCTGCTGAAGACTGGAGCTCTACCACTTGATGTACATCTCTACTTCTAGGTTTTTGTTGGCTAACTGGAGGCAAGAGTCTCACAGATTTGTCTGAGTGGGCTGGCTTCAAATCATGATCCTCAGATCCTAGCCTCCCAAATAGTTTAGATTACAGATATCAGCCACCAGCACCTGGCCTGAAGTTCTTGTTCATTTGAATTTTCATACTAATATCACAACAGGTGGGACCCAGGGGGAACATTAGATTTCAATTTCTCATTTCACAGGAGGGATCTGCGATTGGGAAGTTACACAGAGAGGCAGGGCTGTGCCAGCTCCAACTCTTTCCAACCTTTCCCCCATCCTGGCTAGGTAGAAGAAGGGTGTCAGATTGAAAGTTTTATTGTATGCCCGCCTCTCTTTTGTATTTTTGCACATCTTCTTAAACAGATTCACCTTGTAATGGAGCACCTCACAGCTATCTGCCTTAAAGACAGGTACAAGGAAATTCTCAGTCCTACCAAACTCTATTCAGACTTTCTGAAGACAGTGTTACAGTCCTATGATCCCAACTTACCAACTCCTTTTCGTGAACAATCAGCACTATCCCCATCTCTGCTTTTATACAGAGCTTGCTTCCATTTAGAACTTGGTAAGTTCCTGTCTTGACTAATGATGGCTGAGGGGCAAGGGTGGGTCTGGGAACTGTGGGGGAAGGGGCAGCTGTTTGAGTGGCATTGTGTGTGGGTGTCGGTGTTCCTGGACCATGGGTAGGTGAAGTAGGCATCTGATAGGGTGTGCTTTGAGGCGGTGCTGTAAACAAAGTTTTTGAAAGGGTGGTCTGGCCGCCAGGTAGGGGTGTTTGCCCAGCTGTGTAACTGATAGTGGATGGGCTTGTTCCAGTTGTAGGGGCTGGTGAGGTGATGGGTTGCTGTGAATGTGTAGTTGAAGCAGGAATGATGGTAGCTTTAGTAATCATAGTACTGGTGTGTGAATCATTAGATGTAGCCAATGTATAGATAATTGGGCTGGTGGATGGAAGGCTTCCTGTAGTTACTGGAAGTGTGGTAGTTGGGATTTTTATGGTTGTGTGTGTTAAGACTTGAGAGCTGAAATTTTCACCAGCCGTTTCAGAGGTGAGGTGACCATCCGTTGTTATTGCTGCTGAAGTTTTGTGAAGTACATGGCTAGTTGTCTGCTGGAGAGGTTTGGATGTGGTCTGCCCTGTTGCTGTTGGATTGGGTTGAACATAGCTTCTTGTTTCTGAAGATACTTGTGCTTGTATTTGATGGCCATCATGCAAAATTACTGTAAATTAGGAAATAAAAGTGTTAAGATACTAACCAATCACTAAAAGTTCCTCCTCCATTCTTGTTTTACTGTTAGTTCATTAAGAATAATAACATGCAGCTGGGTGTTGGTAGCTAATGCTTTTAATCCTAGCTAATTGGAGGCTGAGATCTGAGGACTGCAGTTTGAAGGTAGCTTGGGTAGGCTACCCAAACACCCAGAAATGGAGCTGTGGTTCAGGAGGTAAGAGTGTTTGCCTTGAACAACAACAACAACAAAAGCTCTAGGACAGTGCCCAGATCCCGAGTTCAAGCCTCAGAACCAGCACACACACACACACACACACACACACACACACACATGCACACACGCACAAAAAACAACCATGCAAGCCAACTGCTGATGGCTCATACTTGTCATCCTAGGTACTGGAGGCTGAGATTGTGGTTCAAAGCCAGCCCATGCAAGAAAGTCCCTGGGACTCTTACTTGCAGTTAACCACTAAAATCTGGAAGTAGATCTGTGGCTCAAGTGGTAGCGATACCAGTCTTGAGCAAACAGCTAAGGCACAATGCCCAAGTCCTGAGTTCAAGTGCCAGTGTAGACAAAAAATAAGTTTAACATATATAATTTTAAATATGAAGAAAATTCTCAAGGTGGTAACAATAAAATAAAGACAATCAAAGACTAGTTAGTACTAGACCAAAGTTTTAGTGTTTTTCATTCATCAATGGTTTTTACATGGTCATTATGATACTACACACATGATTCTGCACATAACCCCTTTGTCTGCATAGGATATGGTAGTAAGCACACCAAAGTGGCCACACTCAGCTAGGTACTAAAGTCAATGCCTCTCCACTGCCCACCCTCACATGTAACAATGGTGTCCTAGGTAGACAGCTCCTGTGATGATCTGGGGCAGCTGAAGCAGTGCTAAGAATTTGTAGAGCTTTCTAATGTTTGTAGAATCTCATAAGTCAAAGTTTGCAGAGGGTCTTGAGGGTCATCATGTCTAACCTGGTGTTTGGGTTGTGACTATGACTCTTCTCCACGTGTTCATTCCATCTAAACTTAACTATCCCAATGGTGGGAGACTCATTTCTTCATAATATACTCCCTTCCATTTTCATTTCGCCACTTATTTGTCTAAATATAGGCTAATTCTTTTTTTGGGGGGGGGCTCTGGACCTGGGCGCTGTCCCTCAGCTCTTCAGCTCTACTACTTGAGCCACAACACCACTTCCAGCTTTTTTCTTTTTGCTTATGTGGTGCTGAGGAATCGAACCCAGGGCCTCATGCATGCAAGGCAAGTGCTCTACCACTGAGCCACCTTCCCAGCCCCGGCCAATTCTTCCCCTAACCTTTTTGAGCAGCTCAATCTGTCCCAACTAAGAAAGAAAATGGAGGTGTATCTGCTCCAATATTTCAATTAAGCCCCTGGCTTAATCATCAGTCAACTCCTCAGAATCTTCCCTATCTTCTTGATATAAAATAGGCCCTCAATCCCCCCTTCATATGTATTATATAATATATAATATATATACATATATAGCTTTCATTGCAGCAGTGACATTTTATACTTATATAGAGAGACAGGGTTAAAATAGTGCATGACCAGCCTGGTGTAGATACCAGCAGAATTTCAGCCCTAGAAATCACTAACTTATTGGTTTAGCGGCTAATTGTACACTGGTAATCTTACAAACTCACGAGGCTGAGATCTGAGAATCATGACTTGAAGCCAGCCTGGGTAGGAAAGTCCATGAGACTCTTAACCTTCAATTAACTACCAAAAAACTGGAAGTAGAGCTGTGGCTCAAGTGGTAGGGCATTAGCCTTTAGCAAAAAAGCTCAGGGACAGTGCTCAGGTCTTGAGTTCAAGCCCCAGGCAAACATCGCATGCATGCGTATGTGCATGAGCACACATGCACTTACAGTGCTGTATGTGTGTACAGCTTCTGTCATCAGCATTTTACACATACAAGTTGTATGAAAAAATAACTGAATGGAAACCTCCAGATTTCTTCTAAGAGTCAAATGAGTTGGCTTCAGTGAAAATCTGCAGCACTATTGAGCACATCTAGTGGCTACTCTTGAAAGAGAGTCTTTCTGAGGTTGTCTGTCTGAGGCCAAAGATTTCTTGCTCTTTTATCCAGGATAGTCTAATCTTTGCTTCCTTCCAGACACACAGCAATCCAGAAAAGTGGACCAACTTCAAATGATGGCCCTGGAACCCACAATCAGGTGCACTGGGGATAACTTTCCCTTCAGTTCTGTGGCTCAGTTGTGTTAACTCATGAAAGCTGTAGTTGCTGGATGCTAGGTTGAGACTTGGGGAAACATGCAGAGAGAAGAAGATGCCACTAGCTGGTGTTTTATAAAATCCTAAAGCTCATCTCCTATCAAAATAACCAATAAGTATCTTTCCATCTCCTTCTTCCTATTCAGTTCAATAAATTTCTCTGTCTGTGTGTGTGTGTATGTGTATGAGAGAGAGAGAAGGAGAGAGACAGAGACAGATACAGACAGACAGACAGACAGACAGACAGACAGACACACACACACACACACACACACACACACACACACAGAGTGTGCTGGGGTTTGAACTCACAGCCTGAGTACTCAGGCCTCACCACTTCAGCCACAGCTTCACTTCCAGCTTTTTGGGTAGTTAATTGAAGATAAGACTTTCCTTCCAAGGTTGGCTTTGAACTCTTATCCTCAGATCTCAGCCTCCTGAATAGTTAGGATTACAGGTGTGAGCCACCAGCACCTGGCAGTTCAATAATTTTCTGTTTATTTTGTCCATATTAACAGATAATGACAACAACAAAAACCTAAGTTACTCAACGGTTAATACAAGGAAACTTGAGGTCAAGTTTGGTTGATTCTTTAACTGGTCCTTTCAAAACCCCTCTGAGGCAAACTACTTTTATTGAGGAAACCCAGGCTACAAAATTCCATCAACTTGAGTAAAGTTATGTAACAGAAACTGGTTACTGTTGGAGTTGAGACTTGAGCTCCTGTAAATGTAAATCAGTCTGCTACTGCATTTGGGGGAAGAGTAGAGTGTGTCCCTGGGAAGAACAATGACAAAACACACAGGCAGAGGGATGAGAACTAGCAGGGTGCCCTTCAGGAACCCGAATTCACGGAAAACTCATAATGGTGGCCATTGGTGAGGCATTCAAAAGGTCACCTTCCAAAATGACAATTATTTTCTAGAAAAAAGTTCTGACCTATAAGTTACTTCTGCACACACAAAAAAAACATTCATTTAAATTGTGTTGGATCTCCTTTCTAAAAAGAATTGATAATACCAGACTCCAGTGGCACACACTTATAAGCTGTAATCAAACCAGATCTGAGGATCATGGTTTGAAGCTAGCCTGGAAAAAAAAGTCTGTGAGACTCTTATCCCCAGTTAATTAGCAAAAAGCTGTAAGCGGAGCTGTGGCTCAAGTGGTAGAGTGCCAGCTTTGAGGGAAAAAGCCAAGCAAGATCACAAGACCCTGAGTTCAAGTCTTAGTACCAGTATATACACAAAGAAAGAATTATTATTAATGACATTAATGATTATGTGAGATCATCATTGAAGAAAGTGTTTGTATAGCTTAAATATTCATTTGAATAAGATAAAAACATGGTCTCAAAAGCTGTAGATTTTATGACTGTAGGTTTACTTTCCAAACCTTTATAAACTCTTTACATGTGGGATATTTATGTCTGGTTGTAGAGCTTCAAGAAAGACTTTTCACTTCAAGATTGTGACAGAATTCAACTGTTGTTGAAGATTTATTTTCATAATTCATGTGAGCTAAACCTCAGATGCTGATTCTTTGGTCAAGAATTAAACAATAACCCTAAATAAGCTTATATTATCCATATGGAGAAAGAAAATTCATTCCCAGATGTGGTTTCTATGAATTTCTTGGGAGAATGAGTGATAACTTTACAGAGAACCTCTGGAGACTGATTATCACTTGCCTATTCTCTTGGGATGATCATTGTATCCTTGTTAAAATACTCCTCCTGCCCCCAGGAATGACTAGGGCTAGAAGCAAATTTCAACTGAGTAGATTTTCCTAAACTTAAAAAAATAGCCTTCCTAAAGCTCCTCTTTCAGTAGGGAGAAATGAACTCAAATAGATAAGAAAGGAATTTGGTTCTCTACAAATGAAGGTTCATGGTTTCCTACAAAGCATGCTTGATATGATGGAAGTCTTAGTGGGGTGATGGTTGGTAGACAGTCTTGATTTGGTGTACAGGTGTGTCTTTGGGAGGAGGAAAGTGCGTAATTGCTACAATTTGGTTTGGGGTGGCATCCTCCAAAGATCCATGTGTTCTAGGCTTGGTGCCCAGCTTGTGCTATTAGAAGGTGGTAGAACCTTAGTAGGTAGAGCCTAACAGAAGGTCTTTTTTAGGTCATTGGTGTGTGCTCTCAGGACATTGTGTCTCTTTGTCACTTTCCAGCTATGAGGTGAGTGGTTTTGCTACATCACACAATTCTATGATGGTGATGGTTTTGCTTAACCAAATGCCAGGGCCAATCAATCATGAACTGAAACTTCTGCAACCACAAGCCAAAGTAAACTTTTCTATTCACTTAGCTGTTTGTTTTGAAGTGCTGGGGACTGATCATAGGACCTAGAGTAGGCTAGGCAAGTACTGTTGTATCTGGTTATATCCTAGCCCCATACCTTTTCTCTTTATAAGTTTATCATCTTAGGCATTTGTTATAGTGACAGAAAGCTGACTAACACAGTAATGAGTAGAAAGCTGGGTAAACAGGGGCTGAACCAAAAGTGCCAAGTTTTCAGTTGTATTACAGATTGGCTCACTGTAGTATATAGTTTAGTATTCCCCCTCTCATCTCCCACCCTCCCTCCCTTCCCTTTTCCTTTAGGAGTGTGTGGTATAAATGCCATTTTGGTGAGCAGGTTGGAAGAAAGTATTTTGTACATCCTAATATGTCCCGGAAAGTTTGTGTGTGTATGAGTTAATCAGTGAAT